TAATATTAAAGGATACACAATATCAGATACTCTTTATAGTATACCATAGACTTTCATCATGATAAAAATTCATTTTTAAAATCAATAATATTCATATCTATATATGGCAACATACATATTATTTAATTATTCCATGAAATTATTTTATTCACATTTTTTAGCTACACAGATAATTTTGTTACAAAATTATGCACTAAGAAAAATATCTATCACTGTACTGTGTAAATACAATAGAAATGTTATAATACAAATAAGAATACATTGAGAATCGGACTGTTACAGATGTCATACATGCAGATGCAATGACACGTATGGACATAAAACAGCATACTAGGCATTGATTCCAGACAGAGTTGTTGAAATTATAATTTCTGCTTCTTTATTCCAATCATATTTTCAAGTGGAGGCAAAGATCCTTCCTCAAATAGTTCACCATCACATGAACAAGTTTGAGGGTTGTCAGCCACAAGAAAGACACAAGAAAGAGAAACAACAAAAACACTTCTCATAAGTAAGGCATCATAAGCAAGAATCAACAAAAGTAGAACATGACTTTTTTTTTTTTTTTTTTTCCCGGGATTTTACCTTGGGCTTTTTTGTTTGCAGGGCGGGCGTTGGCGGCTTTGAGCTAAATTCCAGGCCAGAATATGACTTTGAAACAAGCATTTTCCTCTTATTTAGAGAGTGAGGAAAGAGTGTGCATGCACTAGAGAAAAATGTGCAGTAAGGAATCAAGATCAAGCCACTTGTGCAGAGGGGTATGCAAAACTTTGGACACCTGGACCAGAGCTCCAGTAATATATTATAATTGGGATATGTCCTCATAACACATATGCAATAAATAGGACAAAATGAAATGTTTCATCTCAATATACAAACAATTTGAATTCTTTTGATCTATTAGAAAAAAGAAGCACCCTAAGCCCACCAGGAGGACTTTTGAGCACATTATTAAATTATCACACTTAAATGAGCCTGGTGAAACTGCAATCATGTTCATCTTTAACATTTGTAAAGTATACAGAGACTAAAAAGAACTATCCTGCTTACACACATGTAAAGGATCTCACAGGTGCACTTGGACATTGGAAATGTTATGGTAATGTTGGCAAAATTCACAAAAGCCATTTCATTTCCGGACCAAATATTCTCTCTGATTGTCAAATGGTGCACAATGCTGCAGCCTCCCCAGAGGGCCTGTGAACTGTAAACCAATTCTACTTATCTGTCACACTGTTTTCAAGTATTCAGTCTACAATAAAGGGAATTTTCATGTTTTCCACAATTTTATAGAAATGTGTCTACTACCAGAGTTATAAATCTAAAGAAATAAAAGTATATAATGAGCTATTGTGTTTGCTATACATTCTAGAGGAATAGAAGAATAGGTACAATCTAAACTTCGTTTGTAGGAATAGTAATGCAGATCATTTTTAGAAAAGATATTGCATAGTTTTTTTCCATGATCTTTGTAGGGCACATTTTACATCTTTGTTCCTCAAGCTGTAAATCAAAGGATTCAACATAGGGATGACCAGGGTGTAAAATATAGAATCCACTTTGTCAGTGTCACTGGAGTGATGGGACTTGCTCTGCATGTACATAAATATCAGCATCCCACAGAACACAGTGACCATGGTTAGGTGGGACCCACAGGTGAAGAAGGCCTTGTGCCTGCCCTCTGCAGACTTCATCCTGAGAATGGCTATGAGGATGAGCAGGTAGAACATGAGGACCACCGGAAAAGAAGAAATGAAATCAAAAGCAGCAAAAATCACAATTATCAATTCAATTTCATATGTGTCTGAGAAGACAAGAGATATCAAAGGGAGAGTGTCACAGTAGAAATGACTGATGACATTGTATCCACAGAAGGCCAAAGTGAATATCTTTATGGTGACCAGAAGAGACACAAATGTGCAGTAGAGATAGGGAGTCCCCACTAGTACCCAACACAGCCTTGGTGACATGATGACAGTATAGAGGAGAGGGTTACAGATGGCCACATAATGGTCATAGGACATCACAGACAGAATAAAAACCTCATAAGCAATAAACACAACAGAGAAAGCAATGTGTGTAGCACAACCATAATAGGAGATTGTATTTTGATCCACCACAAAATTAGCCAGCATTTTGGGTCCAACAGCTGTAGAATAGCCAACATCAGTGAGAGCCAGGTTTCTGAGGAAAAAGTACATGGGAGTTTGCAGCTTGGGGTTCAACTGGATGAAGATGATCATGCCCAGGTTGCCCAGCAGTGAGGTCAGGTAGACGATGAGGAACAGGAGGAACAGTAGAGCTTGCAGCTCAGGGAGATCTGTGACACCCAGCAGGATGAACTCAGTCACCGCTGTGAGGTTGGGCCCCTCCATCCAGGGCAATCAGGAAACCTACTCAGGACAGAAATAACAGTGGAGTCAATAGTTTTTCAATATTATCTATCACCTGGGGAAATTTTACTATACAGAGGCACTGCATATAAACTCATTCAAATTTTCCCATTTAGAATATTTTAAAATAAACCTATTTTTCAAAAATGACACTGAGGGGTCTTATGTGGAATGATTATCCTCCCAAAAGAACATTACTTCATCAAACTCTAATTGTTTATGAAAAGTGACCTTGGACATGTACCTGAAAGTCTTTCTTTTCATATAAAAAACAACATATCCTTAAAGGTTTGAGGGAAGAATAAAGTAAGTCTTGGCTATTCAGTGAGGGTTATGCTGTGTGAAAAAATAGTTCTCTCAAGGTCATGTACATACTTATTCTTGGTGTTTTGGTATTGTTAGTGATGATGGCAATGTGACATGATCACTTTGCAGAGCAGTGGGTTGCAGATGCCCACATAGAGGTTATTGCCCTTTGCAGACAGAATAGTGAGCTCACTAATTATAAGCATGATGGTGAACAATGGTGTAGGGGATTGCTTTTCAATTAGTTATGAAATTCACCAATAGTTTGGTTCCCACAGCTATTGAGTCACCAAGTTTAAGAATACTGAGATGTCGAATAAAACGTATGTGTGTCTTTGAGGGTGAAGTCCACCTGCATGAGGACAATCATGCTGGAGCTGCCCATTATGCAGTTACACAGATGAACAGGAACAGCCCAAAGAAGGGGCCTGCAGATCTAGGTGGGGTGTGATGTCCCTTAGAATGAATGCTCTTCCACTGATACATTTCTGTCATCTATTCAGGCCACTAAGAATGCAGACTGTGGGCAAAATCATTAAAACCCATTGGGCTTCAGGAAGTATCACCTGTTAAAATCTTAGTAATCAACCCATTAATTATAAGATGAACTAACATATTTTCCCTAACTGAAAATCACCTCCACCACTGAACCTGAGACCACATTTAGAAACCTGTAAAACATACGGAGCTCATGGACATTTATTTCTCTGTTATGCAATGATTATTATTATGAAGTACAGTACATACATACCTTTGAATCTGTCAACAATATATGCTTCCAAAAAATTTAACCTTTTTTGGTAATTCTGATATTTTTACAAAATAATTCACTAAAACTTCAGAATTTACTCCAATCTTTACTTTTTTAGCAGAATTATAATGTAAAGCAACAGCTCTCTGCTTTTTCAGCTTGCATCTTCAGTCCCAATCCTAAAAGTAAACTATTATTAAGACAACTTTAACAGAATTTGACTAATAAATCAAGCACCTCATTTTAACTGAACATATCAACAGATATTCTCATTCCCTGGTCTATTTATTCTATGAAAATTGTATTTTATGGTACCATGCTTTTATATGCTTTAACATTTTAATGGTATTTTGTAATGATTTAATAATTTAGTTTGTTTGTAGGAGTTTCCAAAATGATCATTCTATACAACAAATATTGCATAATACATTCACACTTGCTCTACAACAGTATGTCCAAACTTTAATAATAGATTGCAATCATTCTGGGTTTTGCTAAGCTGCATGTCAACTAAGTTCTGGATCTTTAAGTTACTCAGTTTGAGGACTTACAGATCTTTGCACATCTGTCTTTATATTAGCAGTAATATCATCACAATGATTTGTTTCATGTTCCAGTTATAATTTCTCCAGTATATTTAAAGATACATTAAAAAGAGGTCAGATTTATTTAAAAATTTACCCTATAAGATTGTTAGCTAAGCTACGATAAATATCTCATAATGAGAAATATTATTGTAAAGTAGGCGATGCTCTTTTAATATCTCAGAGGTAAGAACCATCATTTTATGTAATTTGTGGATGAAAGAAAAGAAAAAAGTAACACGGCCAATGTATTAGACATTGTATGATTAATTTGTTATTCTTGTTTACTTGTTTAAATGTGCTTAGACAAGATAAATAATTCGATCTATAAAATTCGATATAGCATTAATTTTAATGAAGTAATGATTTTATTTTCTTTGTGAATACTATTCTTGTACCTTTATAGATCTCCCAATCAGATATACATGGAAAGTTTTGAGTTAACAATAGTAATGTCAATATTTTATTTTCTCCACATCTACTTTTCAGATAGTCTTCTCCTTCATACTCTTTTAAAGGCAGTTCACATCAATTGAATCAATATTTATTTCAGTATGTTATATATTAAGGTTATCATTCAGAGTCTGATAAAATAAACACACTGTTTTATGAACAAATATATATTTAAATATGTTTGTATACACACACACACACGCGGAGATGCGTCTGTATTTGTTGTGATGTAAGAGTGTGTTCTTTTGGGAATTCATGAGCCAGGCTGACTTCCTGTTGTCCTTTCTCTTTCTACAGGTTCCTTCTCTAGGGCAAGGCTGTCATTACTCATCAGGGGGAATTCTAGTGTTTCTCTGCAAGTAGCTTTAGCACCCAGGCTTTTCCTTACTAATTTCTATCATATCGTTCCGCATCATCTGCTCAGCAATAAGGCAACACTTCCATATTCAGCATTCTTAGTGACTTTCTGAATCTCTGCATTCTCCTACATTATCACACTTCAATTTTCCTGTCAAGAAAAACTAAATTTTCATATGAAGTTTCTTATTTTAATTCCATTAATTACTGGAATTACTCCTTCTTTCTGAGGACTTTTCTATTTTAACTGGGCATATTAAGTGTATTATAATTTTGCACACTAGTGTAAAACAAATATATATTTCACAATAATTAGATGAGCCCAACATCTACAAAACCAAAGAAATGTTAAACACTTGAGATGCAAATAATATTAATCCTAATTTGATCTTTTTTGCTTAAATTCTTTTATTGGTACATTTTAGGCATACAATACATTTCCATTTATCATTGGGTGCTTAGACCTGTACATGATGTATCTTGATTCTTATTTTTCCCCATTCCCTTTACCCCCTCCACCCTTCTCTATTTACAGAGACTTTGTTTCCATTTTTTCCTTTGCACATAATTTTTCCTTTCTCTTCTTTCCTTTCTCCTTCCCCTTCCAATTTCCCTCCCCCTTTGGACCTTTTCTTCCTATTTCAAATTATCAATTATTCATTTTAATCCTTATTTACTCTTTCAGTTTCTCACACTAGAGAAACACTTTGGTACTTACACATGTGTGTCCTATTTATTTCATTTAAGAGATTGGCCTTGATATGCATCTACTTAGTGGTAAATGTCTCTAGTTTCTCATTTTTGTGCCTGAGTAGTACTCCATTTTATAAAAAAAACACATATCTTTATCCAGTTTTTGGCTGATGGACACCTGGGATGTTTCTAACCTTTAGCTATTACTATCTGTGCCGCTATAAACATCCTAATTTGATCTTTACACATCATGTACACCTGTTTAATTTTCATATGTACGAATTTTGTGTCTATTAAAAGTAAAGATCAAACTGTAAAGACAAATCCTAGACACATAATGTATACATTTACATCTAACAAAAAAACCCAAATTGACCCATTTCTCTTACACTGTTTAATTGGAAAAAAAGTGATAACACAAAATAATTCTTAATTTCTAAGTTTATTTCAAGCTTATACTCTAATGGTCCCTATCCTGGAAATTATCGTGTTTGTGTGTGTGTGTGTGTGTGTGTGTGTGTGTGTGTGTGTATTTACTGGTATATGTTAGTGTGCTTGAGTGTAAAGATCATACCTAGCACTCATTAAAATTCCTCCACTAAGTGAAATTCCTCAGCCCTTAGAATTATCTAATTCTTCATTACACACGTCACTGTATTTGGGACAAACATTGAATCTCCTTAAGTTTATCAGTGCACACTGAAGCCATAGAAACTGCCTTTGGGACCAGAAAAATTTTCCATTTTAGGATTTTGTACTTTGGATAATGCAAAACTCAAGAATAGCAGGAAAATCTTTTTTATTGACCTTCAGTAATTGTTTAACCTTTTCTTAGAATCATGGAATCATATTTCAGGGAAATTTAAAAGGAACCTGTCCTGATACAATCTCCTGTAACACATGGGCTGGTTGTAAGGCAGGTAAGATTTCTGCATAAGCTATGGTGAAGTATATCCCTGTAATGACTATTTGTTTTCTGTGTAAACACTTAAGCAGTTTACTTTATCAATGGAGACATCATAGTTTAAGTTCTGCCATGCCTCCTGAAACTTAATAATCTAGGGGCAAATATTTGATTATTTGCAAAAGAAAATGCAATATTTCAATCTTGAGTCTAATTGAAATTGAAAAAAAAAACAAAGACACTTAGACCTTACATTTAGACTTTGCAGTAAATAAAATACATGATGTAACCTACCTGTGTAGAGAGGTCTTCTAAGATTCACAACCTGAAAATATTCACACAGAACTATATATGCTTAAAGATTCAAGTCCAGGAGCCTGAGGAACAAATTCCCAAATACACCCTTGATTTCCCAGGGAATGAAGGGACCATGACTCATAGTCAATTCTCTGAAAACATACTCAAAGTGAAGTGCAAAGAATGGTGAAGGATTCACCATTAAGCAACTCTATGGAGTAATAGAAGAAGGCAATATTTCCATTTGTTACTTAACTCTTCTACTGAATGGTACCCTAATGCATATATTAGCTGGGAAGGGCTGCTGCTGGTCTTTGGATGAAGAAAACGCAGCAGTTAGGAAACATCTGTGTATATTCCTTAAAAAACAGATGATACAGAATATGAATTCAAAATGTAAATAATTGTGAATAGACCCAATACTGATATTTTTTGTTGAATTTCTAAGGCATCCATTATATATAGCTAGTCTTATTTCAAGTTTTTAATAAGAAATTTTAGATTGTAAAATATATTTCCATAGAAGTCATCAGTCTTTCCTCAGTGCACATGTGAACACTGCAATTGATTATTTAAAATATTTTTTCTTTGTTTAATATTAATCGTACATTTTATGTATAAAATATAAGAGATTCAT